TCCTTTTTTCTTCATATATAATCATGTCCACCTGTCTGTCCAAAAGCCTGTTAATCTCTATGGTAATCACTGTGTACTGGAGAACCGTTTTTGCTGAAAGTTTTGAAAGTTATTTTCAAAATAAAGCAGTCCTCTCTCTCTCTCAGTAATTCCTCCAACCGGACAGCTCCCCAGACTCTCAAGTAATTAAGCCTGCTCAAACTACAAACAGCTTTAAGTATTCTTCTTTTGTGCTCTTATGTAATTCATTCCTTGTATTATTCCAACGCTTCTCATGCTTTTTTGTGCATTCCTCTTTTTGAGCCCACGAAATAGTATTTTTTCTCATGGATCCTGCCCTAATATGCTTCGCAAATCGACGCTTTTTGACCTCCGTTTGGACGATGGAACAATGGAGTATCTGGTGATGTGGCTGGATAATACTGTGGCCGGCCTACGGCCGGACAAATCTTTATGTATTTTCGTACGACTAGCTGTTTAACCAACTGATTCTACTACAGCGAGGTTATACGAACTATGCAGTGCACAACATTCTGCTTCCTACTCGCGCTTATTAAGCGATTGTGCGACCGGCACCCTGTCCCTCCACAATGGTGGCTGTTTGAGTGAATACTATGCAAATGCGTGTTTGAGTGCTGTGACACTTTTGGCGCGGACCTGGGAAGAAAATGGTGTAACTGCGTGCTGGTGAAGACGGCCAGTGTTCCTTCCTCTCGCTATCGCCGACATTCCCCCCCCCCTCCAGCAAAGCATTCTCGTTCTCGTCTCTCTCACGCTCAACGTCGACCCCCACCTCGGCCCTTCCCGCAGTTGCCCACAGCGCTGCATCCCCACCGGCTGTTTAGCTAGTATGTCAGGGTCACCTATCCATCCAGACAGGTTACCTATTCGCTGTTCCTCGTTCCACGTGTACATTAACGTTTGTTATTACGCATTCTACATATTCATGTCGTTCTATTACACTATATCCCACGTTTGACGTACTTCCTTCTTCTGTGTGGATGAGTTTCGAGGCATGCTAAAAGTTCTGCTCAGGTCTACCTCAGGCAGGATCTCATATTAGCGTTTCTTTACTTGGGTGTGTGCTACCCTTGACGTCCTAGGCCGCTACACCACAACGGCTGACGGTTTATTAATAAGTCACTCATGCTTGGTGGCCAACAGGACATTACGTTTAAACGAGGGGTAGGAGGAGGTGGAGGCGTAAACAAGGAAGAATTACGAAAGTTGCGTGAGCGTCTAACAGAGGCTAATTATTTATAACGCGAGAACTTCCCGTACCTGGGCAGTACTCTTTCCTGCAACACCAAGATCGACGACGAAGTCCCCAACAGGATCTCGAAAGCCAGTCAAGCCTTCGGTCGCCTCCAAAGCACAGTTTGGAATCGCTACGGTCTTCAGCTGAGCACGAAGCTGAATATGCACAAGGCCGTCATCCTGCCGACACTACTGTATGGAGCGGAGACTTGGACGGTTACGCAAAGCAGGCACGTCGTCTGAACCACTTCCACCTCAGTTGTCTTCGTCGCATCCTGAGGCAAAAGTGGCAGGATCGAATCCTCGGCACTGATGTGCTGGGACGGACAGGAATCCTCAGCATCTACGCCATACTGAGGCAAATTCAGCTGCGCTGGAGCGGCCACCTGGTGCGCATGGACAACGAGCGACTACCCAAACGACTCTTCTACGGAGACGTCGTGACGGGTTCTCGCCGTCAAGGAGGTCAGATTCGCCGTTACAAGGATACCCTGAAGTCCTCCCTGAAACGCCTGCAAATCAACCCCACCAACTGGGAGGAGCTCGCACTCGATCGACCGACCGACCTGGAGGAGGACAGTGAAGACAGGCGCTGCGATCTACGAAGCCAACCGCATCGCTGCCGCCAAAGCGAAACGTGAAGCCCGCAAATCACAACTTCGCCCAGTAAGCAACGCCGCCGCACAACCGCTTCCAACGTGTCCGCGATGTCAACGGACATTCCGGGCTCAAATCGGATTTGTTGGACATCTTCGGATTAACTGCGCCTCTCGAACGGCACAAACCATCGTCCCCCCGCCTGCCTCTTCCTCCTCCTCTCCGCCGCCAACTAGCCCTGACGATTCTTCTGACCCACGACTTCCATCATCCTCCTCCTTCTCTTCCTCCT